GAAGCCTTTCATTCTGCCATTAATTTATCAGACTTAAATAATAGAAATTATTGTCTGATTCACAGTCCGGACTGGTTACAATAAAAAGCATTTGCAAATCCTTGTACATGTAAAATACGAGATTATCAATGTGAGATAGTGAGTGGCCCACATCTGAGAAGTGAATGGTCTGTAGTAATGTTACCTTGTGGTTCTGAGGTCAAGCTTGCTGTTTACACCCATTTGATACTTTAAATCCTGAAAACTCACTTGTTTTCAAACTTCACATAATTGAAAAGAAGACCCATATGGGGGGGGGGGGGGGTAAAAGGTCAATGTCTGCATTGTTTCCCTTTGGCTGAGAATTTTTGTACTTTTTATGTTCTGTGGAAGAGGCCAGTCACTTGGTAAAACTCTATACAAATACTCTCAATTGTTTTGACCAAGTGTTATTAGGACCTGCAAAATGCAGGTGCCCTATAGTATATCACAGTGTCCGTCCATCCGTTCATCTGTCTGTCAGCACTTTCGTTTCTGGAGATCATCTCATGATCCAGACGGCCAGAATTCCGAAATTTCACATGGTGATACACTGATGTGATGTGGAGATGTGCAATAGGGGTTTAAAAACGTTCCTAAGGTCAAGGTCACTGTTACTAAAAATAGAATTGGGAATATAATGTCAAAAATACACCCTATAAGGCCCTAACAGGAGGCCAAACTTTCTGAAATTTCTTATGATGATACATTGTGATGTGGAGATGTGCAATAGTGGCTTAAAAATATCCTAGGTCAAGGTCGCTGTTACTAAAAATAGAACCGGAAATATACAATCAAAAACATCAGATAAGGGCCAAACAGAAGGCCAAACTTTCTGAAATTTCGTTTGATGGTACATTGTAATTATATGCAGTGGTAGTGGTGCAATAGAGGTTTAAAAAGTTCATAAGGTCAAGGTCGGTGTTACTAAAAACAGAAACGGGAATATACTGTCAAATACATCATTTAAGCTTACAGGAGGCCAAATTTTCTGAAATTTCACAAGATGGTACATGTGCTATAAGACTTTAAAAAGTTTCAAAGGTCAACGTTGCCGTTACTTTAAAATAGAACAGGGCATATACTGTCAAAATGTATTGTAAATGGTCCTGTACAGTCAATGATCACTTTTGTTTTTGCTTGGTGCTTATACGGGAGATACACTCTCAGGCATACAGCGGGGTCCTTGCTGACCTGTCAGTATTCTATACGGGAGATGCACTCTCAGGCATACAGGGGGGTCCTTGCTGACCTGTCAGTATTCTATACGGGAGATACACTGTCAGGCATACAGCGGGCCCTTGCTGACCTGTAAGTATTCTATACGGGAGATGCACTCTCAGGCATACAGCGGGGTCCTTGCTGACCTGTCAGTATTCTATACGGGAGATGCACTCTCAGGCATACAGTGGGGTCCTTGCTGACCTGTCAGTATTCTAGTTATAATTCAAACCAGTTGACAATCAAAGATGATTGCCTGCTTTCTGATTAACTGTGGTAATTTTAAAAGATTCACAACTTCCACTACACCAAGTAACCACAGGGATCTGTGTAATGCAGTCACGGTACTCCATCAACAGGTGCTGTTAGTTTTCAAGTGGATTCAAAATGTAAACAAAGACACCTTGTCCTGTTACTCAGGCATTTTCACTCTCAGTTTCACCAGATCAGTCATACAAATGTTGCTGGCATTGCCTTATTGTAATACTTGTAGTCAATATTTAATCATTCTGAATTGCCATCTTGATCTCATGCCATTGGAAGAATTTCATGTTCTAAATCTTGTCTAGTAAATATAACAAAACAAACTGGTGAGAGGTGTAGGACTTATGTCTCTTGTTTTTAATTACAATAACATAGAAATTATCGTTAAAGTTGTCCAGTGATTGTCCAACGAACTGGTGTTGCCAAGGTGATTCCTCCAATCTGCTTACAGGGTTTAGTTGTTACTGAATTACAAACAGATGTGGTCATTCACTGGGTATAGGTCTGACAGGAAAGCATGGTTTCCTCGGAGCAGTATGGGTCTGACAGGAAAGCATGGTTTCCTCCGAGCAGTGTCCGTACACAATGGCTGGCTGTATATTAGTTTCATCGCCTTAGGTTTTGTAACCATTGTAATTCCTATTAGTGTAAAGCTTCTTAACATATATATCGTCAAGGTTTACAAATATGTAATCAAGTTATAGACAGATCCTGTTATCTCACCCACGGATTTTCTGTCAATGGCATATGTACAACTTACAATGTACATTTAGTACCATCTTGTCACAGGCAAAAGAGATTTGACATGTAACGTTAAATATTGATGTCATTACTCGACATTAGATCTGTAGTCAATCAATTTACCTCCAGGGTAGATAACCATATGAAGGTATGGGTCATAATTGTCCCATTATCACTTGCCTTTGATTTCTTTGGAGCAGTCATTGTCTTTTGCTAGAATTTGTTTTTAGATATAATTGATGATTATACACATAATAAAATATTGAATGAGATGTGAACAACCTTCAAAATAGTTACCACGCAAGATTATACAGAGAACTTCTAATGGTGGTGTTCGAACTTAACATTGGAACCAGCATATAGGTATCCAGTACTCTGTACTAGACAGTAGAATGGGGCTAGGTATCCAGTACTCTGTACTAGACAGTAGAATGGGGCTAGGTATCCAGTACTCTGTACTAGACAGTAGAATGGGGCTATAGGTATCCAGTAGTCTGTACTAGACAGTAGAATGGGGCTATAGGTATCCAGTAGTCTGTACTAGACAGTAGTCTGTACTAGACAGTAGAATGGGGCTATAGGTATCCAGTAGTCTGTACTAGACAGTAGTCTGTACTAGACAGTAGAATGGGGCTATAGGTATCCAGTAGTCTGTACTAGACAGTAGTCTGTACTAGACAGTAGAATGGGGCTATAGGTATCCAGTAGTCTGTACTAGACAGTAGTCTGTACTAGACAGTAGTCTGTACTAGACAGTAGTCTGTACTAGACAGTAGTCTGTACTAGACAGTAGAATGGGGCTATAGGTATCCAGTAGTCTGTACTAGACAGTAGTCTGTACTAGACAGTAGTCTGTACTAGACAGTAGTCTGTACTAGACAGTAGTCTGTACTAGACAGTAGAATGGGGCTATAGGTATCCAGTAGTCTGTACTAGACAGTAGACTGGACTAGACAGTAGAATGGGGCTATAGGTATCCAGTAGTCTGTACTAGACAGTAGAATGGGGCTAGGTATCCAGTAGTCTGTACTAGACAGTAGAATGGGGCTAGGTATCCAGTAGTCTGTACTAGACAGTAGAATGGGGCTAGGTATCCAGTAGTCTGTACTAGACAGTAGAATGGGGCTAGGTAACCAGTAGTCTGTACTAGACAGTAGAATGGGGCTATAGGTATCCAGTAGTCTGTACTACACAGTAGAATGGGGCTAGGTATCCAGTAGTCTGTACTAGACAGTAGAATGGGGCTAGGTATCCAGTACTCTGTACTAGATAGTAGAATGGGGCTAGGTTTCCAGTAGTCTGTACTAGACAGTAGAATGGGGCTATAGGTATCAAGTAGTCTGTACTAGACAGTAGAATGGGGCTAGCTATCCAGTAGTCTGAATTAGACAGTAGAATGGGGCTAGGTATCCAGTAGTCTGTACTAGACAGTAGTCTGTACTAGACAGGAGAATGGGGCTAGTTATCCAGTAGTCTGAATTAGACAGTAGATTGGGGCTAGTTATCCAGTAGTCTGTACTAGAAAGTAGAGTGGGGCTATAGGTATCAAGTAGCCTGTACTAGACAGTAGAATAGGGCTAGGTATCCAGTAGTCTGTGCTAGACAGTAGAATGGGGCTAGGTATCCAGTAGTCTGTACTAGACAGTAGAATGGGGCTAGGTATTTAGTAGTCTGTACTAGACAGTAGAATGGGGCTAGGTATCCAGTAGTCTGCACTAGACAGTAGAGTGGGGCTAGCTATCCAGTAGTCTGTACTAGACAGAAGAATGGGGCTAGCTATCCAGTAGTCTGGACTAGACAGTAGAATGGGGCTATAGGTAGCCAGTAGTCTGTACTAGACAGTAGAATGTGGCTAGGTATTTAGTAGTCTGTACTAGACTGTAGAATGGGGCTAGGTATCCAGTAGTCTGTCCTAGACAGTAGTCTGTACTAGACAGTAGAATGGGGCTAGGTATCCAGTAGTCTGTACTAGACAGTAGAATGGGGCTAGTTATCCAGTACTCTGTACTAGACAGTAGAGTGGGGCTATAGGTATCCAGTAGTCTGTCCTAGACAGTAGAGTGGGGCTAGCTATCCAGTAGTCTGTCCTAGACAGTAGAGTGGGGCTAGCTATCCAGTAGTCTGTACTAGACAGTAGAGTGGGGCCAGCTATCCAGTAGTCTACTAGACAGTAGAATAGGGCTAGGTATCCAGTAGTCTGTACTAGACAGTAGAATGGGGCTATAGGTATCTAGTAGTCTGTACTAGACAGTAGTCTGTACTAGACAGTTGTCTGTACTAGACAGTAGAATGGGGCTAGCTATCCAGTAGTCTGTACTAGACAGTAGTTTGTACTAGACAGTAGAATGGGGCTATAGGTATCTGGTCCAGAAATACACATTTGAGCTTTTTATATAATTGTAACAATTTGATGACTTGATCAAAGTTCAGTTAAAGTACAAATCAGCAGAATTAGGGTTAGGGTAAGATATTTGTTTTATAACGAAACAATATGATTATTAGTGACTATTTCAACTTTTAGGAATAAGTATTTTAAATTTTGGTGACCTATTGCGATACCTTATCCTCCCTCGTCTGTCATGCGTAAACATTTACATTTTTTCGACTTCTTTTCAGAAACTGTTAGTTAGATTTTGATTAAACTTGCTGATAATCATCAACCTGACATCGGGACAAGAATCTATATGCCACTCCAATGTATAAGTCCTGAAAGTAGATGTCCCTACTAATTTTTCCCCTTTCTTGTGTTGTTGTAGGGTAAAGACTTGTGTGAGCTGCGCCGTCACACCTATGCCAACACTGTCGACTATCGTACCCTCAAGAAATTCATCCATAACATTTTTGTGCCTTGTCACTGTAAAGCTGTACAGAAACTTCAGCAGGAAGCTCAGAGAGTAAGTATATACAGGTAATATAATAACACACAGACAGAGTATACCTTGGGTAATTTTGTATTTCAGGATGCCAAGGTCAAGGTCATCATTACATTTTATAGAAAACTGTCATACAATTTTATTAATTTGCATCGGAATGGAGGCTTTCATGCTTTAGTCTTTTTCTATTTTTCCTAATAGTTGACTATCAACCATGTAAGATGTTCAAAATGTTATAATGATATTTTTTTTGTAGGAAAAGGAAGAATGCGAGGAAACAGCAAAAATGTGTGCGACAGACTGGGATGAAGGAGACAATTTGACCACTGAGGAAGACACAAGTTTACCACCAGGGGGAAGCACTTGTGCAGCAACACCAGGGGCAGATACTGTTGTATCACCAGGGGGAGGCACTAGTGTACCTCCAGAGGGAGACACTGTTGCGGCAACACCAGGGGGAGACACAGGTGTAGCAGCAAAGCCCCGGCTTTGTCCCGGTCATGAAAGGGCCATGCCAATAGAGGACACAGTGATGAGTTTGGATGTCAAAGAGGAAGGTATGTTCAGAACAAAGAAATTACATACTTCAATTTTTCAAAAGATTTGTTTTTGCCATTAATAGGTCAGAGCTCTGTAAATCAAGTATATTACCTGTCCTTAAGCAGATGGTATGATGAATAGGTCTGATGGGACTCAGCCTAAGGTGACCTGATTTGACGTCTTATGTCTGATTATATAGGTTTATTACAAACTAATTGGGTCAATCTCAATGATCTTCCCTTTGTTGTAGGACTATGTACACTGATGTGCTACTTAGAAAACCATTCTCAGAGGTGGCTACAATCCATGTCTAACGTGTACGCCAACTGTCATATACAGTGTTATGGAGGCCCCAGTCAGCTACAGAAATTTGCAAAGAAGGTAATGTCTACCGTGTACGCCAACTGTCATATACAGTGTTACGGAGGCCCCAGTCAGCTACAGAAACTTGCAACGAAGGTAATGTCTAACTTGTACACCAACTGTCATATAAAGTGTTACGGAGGCCCCAGTCTGTTACAGAAACTTGCAAAGAAGGTAATGTCTAACATGTACACAATTGTCATATACAGTGTTACAGAGGCCCCAGTCAGCTACAGAAACTTGCAAAGAAGGTAATGCCTAACGTGTACGCCAACTGTCATATACAGTGTTAAAGAGGCCCCAGTCAGCTACAGAAATTTGCAAAGAAGGTAATGTCTAACATGTACACAATTGTCATATACAGTGTTACAGAGGCCCCAGTCAGCTACAGAAACTTGCAAAGAAGGTAATATCTAACGTGTACGCCAACTGTCATATACAGTGTTACGGAGGCCCCAGTCAGCTACAGAAACTTGCAAAGAAGGTAATGCCTAACGTGTACACCAACTGTCATATATAGTGTACTGTGTCATAGGGGCCCCAGTCACCTACAGAAATACTCAAATAAGGTAATGTTGAACATGTATACTAACAGTCAAACAGTGGACTGTGTCAGGGCCCCAGTCAGCTACAGAAACACTCAAATAAGGTAATGTCAAACATGTATACTAACAGTCAAACAGTGTACTGTGTCAGGGCCCCAGTCAGCTACAGAAACACTCAAATAAGGTAATGTCAAACATGTATACTAACAGTCAAACAGTGTACTGTGTCAGGGCCCCAGTCAGCTACAGAAACACTCAAATAAGGTAATGTCAAACATGTATACTAACAGTCAAACAGTGTACTGTGTCAGGGCCCCAGTCAGCTACAGAAACACTCAAATAAGGTAATGTCAAACATGTATACTAACAGTCAAACAGTGTACTGTGTCAGGGGCCCAGTCAGCTACAGAAACACTCAAATAAGGTAATGTCAAACATGTATACTAACAGTCAAACAGTGTACTGTGTCAGGGGCCCAGTCAGCTACAGAAACACTCAAATAAGGTAATGTCAAACATGTATACTAACAGTCAAACAGTGTACTGTGTCAGGGGCCCAGTCAGCTACAGAAACACTCAAATAAGGTAATGTCAAACATGTATACTAACAGTCAAACAGTGTACTGTGTCAGGGGCCCAGTCAGCTACAGAAACACTCAAATAAGGTAATGTCAAACATGTATACTAACAGTCAAACAGTGTACTGTGTCAGGGGCCCAGTCAGCTACAGAAACACTCAAATAAGGTAATGTCAAACATGTATACTAACAGTCAAACAGTGTACTGTGTCAGGGGCCCAGTCAGCTACAGAAACACTCAAATAAGGTAATGTCAAACATGTATACTAACAGTCAAACAGTGTACTGTGTCAGGGGCCCAGTCAGCTACAGAAACACTCAAATAAGGTAATGTCAAACATGTATACTAACAGTCAAACAGTGTACTGTGTCAGGGGCCCAGTCAGCTACAGAAACACTCAAATAAGGTAATGTCAAACATGTATACTAACAGTCAAACAGTGTACTGTGTCAGGGGCCCAGTCAGCTACAGAAACACTCAAATAAGGTAATGTCAAACATGTATACTAACAGTCAAACAGTGTACTGTGTCAGGGGCCCAGTCAGCTACAGAAACACTCAAATAAGGTAATGTCAAACATGTATACTAACAGTCAAACAGTGTACTGTGTCAGGGGCCCAGTCAGCTACAGAAACACTCAAATAAGGTAATGTCAAACATGTATACTAACAGTCAAACAGTGTACTGTGTCAGGGGCCCAGTCAGCTACAGAAACACTCAAATAAGGTAATGTCAAACATGTATACTAACAGTCAAACAGTGTACTGTGTCAGGGGCCCAGTCAGCTACAGAAACACTCAAATAAGGTAATGTCAAACATGTATACTAACAGTCAAACAGTGTACTGTGTCAGGGGCCCAGTCAGCTACAGAAACACTCAAATAAGGTAATGTCAAACATGTATACTAACAGTCAAACAGTGTACTGTGTCAGGGGCCCAGTCAGCTACAGAAACACTCAAATAAGGTAATGTCAAACATGTATACTAACAGTCAAACAGTGTACTGTGTCAGGGGCCCAGTCAGCTACAGAAACACTCAAATAAGGTAATGTCAAACATGTATACTAACAGTCAAACAGTGTACTGTGTCAGGGGCCCAGTCAGCTACAGAAACACTCAAATAAGGTAATGTCAAACATGTATACTAACAGTCAAACAGTGTACTGTGTCAGGGGCCCAGTCAGCTACAGAAACACTCAAATAAGGTAATGTCAAACATGTATACTAACAGTCAAACAGTGTACTGTGTCAGGGGCCCAGTCAGCTACAGAAACACTCAAATAAGGTAATGTCAAACATGTATACTAACAGTCAAACAGTGTACTGTGTCAGGGGCCCAGTCAGCTACAGAAACACTCAAATAAGGTAATGTCAAACATGTATACTAACAGTCAAACAGTGTACTGTGTCAGGGGCCCAGTCAGCTACAGAAACACTCAAATAAGGTAATGTCAAACATGTATACTAACAGTCAAACAGTGTACTGTGTCAGGGGCCCAGTCAGCTACAGAAACACTCAAATAAGGTAATGTCAAACATGTATACTAACAGTCAAACAGTGTACTGTGTCAGGGGCCCAGTCAGCTACAGAAACACTCAAATAAGGTAATGTCAAACATGTATACTAACAGTCAAACAGTGTACTGTGTCAGGGGCCCAGTCAGCTACAGAAACACTCAAATAAGGTAATGTCAAACATGTATACTAACAGTCAAACAGTGTACTGTGTCAGGGGCCCAGTCAGCTACAGAAACACTCAAATAAGGTAATGTCAAACATGTATACTAACAGTCAAACAGTGTACTGTGTCAGGGGCCCAGTCAGCTACAGAAACACTCAAATAAGGTAATGTCAAACATGTATACTAACAGTCAAACAGTGTACTGTGTCAGGGGCCCAGTCAGCTACAGAAACACTCAAATAAGGTAATGTCAAACATGTATACTAACAGTCAAACAGTGTACTGTGTCAGGGGCCCAGTCAGCTACAGAAACACTCAAATAAGGTAATGTCAAACATGTATACTAACAGTCAAACAGTGTACTGTGTCAGGGGCCCAGTCAGCTACAGAAACACTCAAATAAGGTAATGTCAAACATGTATACTAACAGTCAAACAGTGTACTGTGTCAGGGGCCCAGTCAGCTACAGAAACACTCAAATAAGGTAATGTCAAACATGTATACTAACAGTCAAACAGTGTACTGTGTCAGGGGCCCAGTCAGCTACAGAAACACTCAAATAAGGTAATGTCAAACATGTATACTAACAGTCAAACAGTGTACTGTGTCAGGGGCCCAGTCAGCTACAGAAACACTCAAATAAGGTAATGTCAAACATGTATACTAACAGTCAAACAGTGTACTGTGTCAGGGGCCCAGTCAGCTACAGAAACACTCAAATAAGGTAATGTCAAACATGTATACTAACAGTCAAACAGTGTACTGTGTCAGGGGCCCAGTCAGCTACAGAAACACTCAAATAAGGTAATGTCAAACATGTATACTAACAGTCAAACAGTGTACTGTGTCAGGGGCCCAGTCAGCTACAGAAACACTCAAATAAGGTAATGTCAAACATGTATACTAACAGTCAAACAGTGTACTGTGTCAGGGGCCCAGTCAGCTACAGAAACACTCAAATAAGGTAATGTCAAACATGTATACTAACAGTCAAACAGTGTACTGTGTCAGGGGCCCAGTCAGCTACAGAAACACTCAAATAAGGTAATGTCAAACATGTATACTAACAGTCAAACAGTGTACTGTGTCAGGGGCCCAGTCAGCTACAGAAACACTCAAATAAGGTAATGTCAAACATGTATACTAACAGTCAAACAGTGTACTGTGTCAGGGGCCCAGTCAGCTACAGAAACACTCAAATAAGGTAATGTCAAACATGTATACTAACAGTCAAACAGTGTACTGTGTCAGGGGCCCAGTCAGCTACAGAAACACTCAAATAAGGTAATGTCAAACATGTATACTAACAGTCAAACAGTGTACTGTGTCAGGGGCCCAGTCAGCTACAGAAACACTCAAATAAGGTAATGTCAAACATGTATACTAACAGTCAAACAGTGTACTGTGTCAGGGGCCCAGTCAGCTACAGAAACACTCAAATAAGGTAATGTCAAACATGTATACTAACAGTCAAACAGTGTACTGTGTCAGGGGCCCAGTCAGCTACAGAAACACTCAAATAAGGTAATGTCAAACATGTATACTAACAGTCAAACAGTGTACTGTGTCAGGGGCCCAGTCAGCTACAGAAACACTCAAATAAGGTAATGTCAAACATGTATACTAACAGTCAAACAGTGTACTGTGTCAGGGGCCCAGTCAGCTACAGAAACACTCAAATAAGGTAATGTCAAACATGTATACTAACAGTCAAACAGTGTACTGTGTCAGGGGCCCAGTCAGCTACAGAAACACTCAAATAAGGTAATGTCAAACATGTATACTAACAGTCAAACAGTGTACTGTGTCAGGGGCCCAGTCAGCTACAGAAACACTCAAATAAGGTAATGTCAAACATGTATACTAACAGTCAAACAGTGTACTGTGTCAGGGGCCCAGTCAGCTACAGAAACACTCAAATAAGGTAATGTCAAACATGTATACTAACAGTCAAACAGTGTACTGTGTCAGGGGCCCAGTCAGCTACAGAAACACTCAAATAAGGTAATGTCAAACATGTATACTAACAGTCAAACAGTGTACTGTGTCAGGGGCCCAGTCAGCTACAGAAACACTCAAATAAGGTAATGTCAAACATGTATACTAACAGTCAAACAGTGTACTGTGTCAGGGGCCCAGTCAGCTACAGAAACACTCAAATAAGGTAATGTCAAACATGTATACTAACAGTCAAACAGTGTACTGTGTCAGGGGCCCAGTCAGCTACAGAAACACTCAAATAAGGTAATGTCAAACATGTATACTAACAGTCAAACAGTGTACTGTGTCAGGGGCCCAGTCAGCTACAGAAACACTCAAATAAGGTAATGTCAAACATGTATACTAACAGTCAAACAGTGTACTGTGTCAGGGGCCCAGTCAGCTACAGAAACACTCAAATAAGGTAATGTCAAACATGTATACTAACAGTCAAACAGTGTACTGTGTCAGGGGCCCAGTCAGCTACAGAAACACTCAAATAAGGTAATGTCAAACATGTATGCTAACAGTCAAACAGTGAACTGTTTCAGGGCCCCAGTCAGCTACAGAAATACTCAAATAAGGTTATGTCAAACATGTATGCAAACAATCAAACAGTGTACTGTGTCAGGGGCCCAGTCAGCTACAAACAACACTTGGGAACACAGCAATAGGGAACATAACGATAGGAAACAATAGTAGGGGAATAATGCATGAATATAGCAATTGGTAACATCAATAAGGATCATAACAATAGGGAATGGAAGTGGGGAAAGTTTGGTACAATAATATATTGAAATACACTAGATCTGTTTGAATCCTGTTCAAAATGTATTCTTCATTTTCTGTTTGAGAATAAACAAGGTAGAGAGGGATATGGAAGGAAGAGATTAGTTATCAGCTAAGATGTACTGTTTTTACTGTAGTGTCCACCGGTTGCTGTGGCAATAGCGAAGGCTAAGAAGAGTGGAAAGACCTTTAGTGACACTAACAGTCTGTCGTTTTCTGTGGTGGAGGTCAGTGACTGTATGGGTTGGGCGTCCGGCCCAGTCAAGCGGGAGCTTAAGACACTTGCATGGGACTTCAACCAACCAGGTACAACATACAGTCTACAACAAGATGGCATACCAAAGATACAAATATTCATTGTACAGTTTACAAACTGGTTATTGCTTCATTTTCATTTCGTACAAGAAACATATATATAAACACTCAATGAAAGAAGATTCTAAATTCACCACCTTGATCTCAAATGAAATAGAAATTATTTTAGATTCCATATAAATCCGAGCACTGTTTAAACTGTTCAACTTCCAGTTTGAACTGCTGGCCTTTAAACTGTTTCTAAGTGAGGGGCACACATTTGTATAAAAGTAATTCAATTCATATTCAGTTCTGTCAGGTTTAACCTTGAGATTATGGCCTATATGATACATTTGTAGTTGCTAACATTAACATTCAAGCCATTTCTCCAGACAATTGCCGGGTGACGTAAATTTGACTTCGCGCCGTATTTTATTGGAGGCAGAAATCAAGTTCTCGGTGGTTGCGATTAAATTCCAACTTCAAAGAAAAACATTTTCCTCTATAAAAGATACAAAATCCGATTAAAGCAGAGTTTGAATGGCACAAAAGTTTTTTGAAGATAAACTCAGTGATGGAATTAAGGAGGTTTATTCACTACGCATTTACACAATTCAATAAACTAGACGGGGAATTCATTATATGTAGAATTCCACTCCTCTGGACATGGCAATTTGGTCTAATTGGAAGAGTTGTAACAGAGGCAGTTAAACACCACGTTTATGTTACAAGGACACTGCAGGTATTGGAAAGTAAGCTGATCTTGATTTCCAGTATGTCCGCTGGACCAAAACAGATGCTTATTACTTTTGGATATGTCTAGAATTTGATCAAAAACTTCTTCTTTTTTAAAAATTAGCATGTCTATTTACAATAAGAGAGGAAAAAAGTAACTTTTTTTTACTTTCATGTTTAAATTTGTCTTGATAAAACAGATAACTTCAAGTATGTATTGTAATACACAACAAATTGATCTCTTGATGTACAAAACAAAACTTATTGGAATTTATTATTTATACAGATGTAATCTTTGACATCGTAATCGTTATTTTTGTCCTCACCTCTGACCTTTGACTTTGTTACAAGCGTCATCTTGACCCCTGACCCGACCTTTGACTTTGTTACAAGTGTTATACTGATCCCTGACTATACTTTTGACCTTAAGCTTGGTACCAGTGTTATCCTCACCCCTGAACTTTGACCTTGTTACAATTGTTATCCTAACCCATGACCTGATCTTTAACCTTGTAACCAGTGTAATCCTCACACCTGACATAACCTTTGACCTTGTTACCGGTGTTATTTTCACACCTGACCTTTGACCTTGTTACCAGTGTTATCCTTAAACCTGACCTTTGACCTTGTTACCGGTGTTATCCTCACAACTGACCTGACCTTTGACCTTCTTACCAGTGTTATCCTCACCCCTGATCTGACCTTTAACCTTGTTACCAGTGTTATCCTCACTCCTGACCTGAACTTTGACTTTGTTACCAGTGTTATCCTAACCTCCGAACTTCGACCTTGTTACCAGTGTTATCCTCACCCCTGAACTTTGACCTTGTTACCAGTGTTATCCTAACCCCTGACCTGACCTTTGACCTTGTTACCAGTGTTATCCTCATTCTTAAACTTTCACCTTGTTACCAGTGTTATCCTCACCCCTGACATTTGACCTTGTTATAAGTGTTATCCTAACCCCTGACCTGACCTTTGACCTTGTTACCAGTGTTATCCTCATTCTTACACTTTCACCTTGTTACCAGTGTTATCCTCACCCCTGACCTTTGACCTTGTTATAAGTGTTATCCTAACCCCTGTATTTTAACCTGTCAGGTGCACCAGGTCCTGTCAAAAGCGGGGTACTTGTGGAATTCTCCGATCTGGCATTCCATTTCCGCTCACCAGGTGATCTTGATGATGACGAGTTGGATGATGTTCTCCAGTTCTTACATGACAGGGTCCAAACACAGGAGAAAACAGAGACACAGCAACTCAAATACCTATACAACACTCTCAGGAGGTAGGTAACTCAGATACCTATACAACACTCTCAGGAGGTAGGTAACTCAAATACCTATACAATACTCTCAGGAGGTAGGTAACTCAGATACCTATACAACACTCTCAGGAGGTAAGTAACTCAAATACCTATACAACACTCTCAGGAGGTAGGTAACACAGATACCTTTACAATACTCTCAGGAGGTAGGTAACTCAGATACCTATACAATACTCTCAGGAGGTAGGTAACTCAGATACCTTTACAACACTCTCAGGAGGTAGGTAACTCAGATATCTTTACAATACTCTCAGGAGGTAGGTAACTCAGATACCTATACAACACTCTCAGGAGGTTGGTAACTCAGATACCTTTACAACACTCTCAGGAGGTAGGTAACTCAGATACCTTTACAATACTCTCAGGAGGTAGGTAACTCAGATACCTTTACAATACTCTCAGGAAGTAGGTAACTCAAATACCTTTACTCAGGAATAATAAGGAGATAGCCTAATATAGGATTTTATATCTTGTCGCCAGATCCTTTCAATCGGTGTGATTGTATTGTATTGTAAATGAATTTAAGTAATAAATATTGTTTAAACCAAATACCTTTACAACACTCAGGAGGGAGGTAGGTAGCTCAAATACCTTTACAACACTCTGGAGGTAGGTAGCTCAAATACCTTTACAACACTCGGGAGGTAGGTAACTCAAATACCTTTACTCAGGAATAATAAGGAAATGGCCTAATATAAGATTTTATATCTCGTCGCCAGATCCTTTCAATCGATGTGATTGTATTGTATTGTAAATGAATTTAAGTAATAAATATTGTTTAAACCAAATACCTTTACAACACTCGGGAGGGAGGTAGGTAGCTCAAATACCTTTACAACTCTCTGGAGGAAGGTACCTCAAATACCTTTACAACACTCTGGAGGTAGGTAACTCAAATACCTTTACAACACTCGGGAGGTAGGTAGCTCAAATACCTTTACAACACTAACTTTTATACATTTACAATATTCCCTGGAGGTATTTAACTAAAATACCTCTACAACACTTAAAGGAGGTAGGTAATTCACTACCTCTACATTACATCAAGAGATGCTTATCCCAAATACCTCAGGCAGTACATGACGTCTTTCCAGTTAAGAGAACCCTCGGAAAGCCTGAGGCGTAAAGCCTGTGGTAGTTTATACAGAAATTTTACAGGATACCTCCAAATCAGTGTGGTGTGTTGGTAGATATGGATTTTATTCCACATAAAGCTTAATTAAGTTAATGTAAATGGTAAAATATAAAATTCGCATTTTGTACTAAACACTTTCATTCCCCAAAGTAAAGAGACCTATTGTGTGTTTCTTTTAATATCTAAAGTATGGGGAGCTCTAAATCGATTTTCATGACACATACCTCTATGTCTTTGTACTTTTCCTAGCAGTAATCAAATGAGACCTGCTCAAGTTGTCGTCAGCCTAGTACACGAGTGCTGAACGTTGGGTATGACCTAACAAGGTAATGACAGGACCAATCATAGAATGTGATATGGTAATATCATTAAGTTTGTTATACTTCTAGAGGTACTTCCTGTAGATACAGTACATTTTGTAGCTTAATCCAATTTGAAAACTACAAACAGATGGGCTGACACCAATGCCCCCTTTCCTCCCAGGGAGCTCTGGGGTTGGGCAAAAAGAGGTAAGTTGGTCATATCACTTAAAGTGACTTCATTTCAACTATGGGAGAAAATTAGATATCATGTGAGTGCTGAAGATCCATTGTGTTATTCATTTTAAGCTCACCTGGCATTTTCACCTGAAACTTTCACGCTAGAAGAGCTTTTAGTATGGTGTGTTGTCCATCGTCTGTCAACTTTTTCTTTGAACAACTTCTTCTTAAGAACTGGAGGACCTAGGGTCATGATATTGGGCCAGCAAGTACCTGGGAAAGAATACATAAAGTTCAAAGTTAAGTCAAATAAATGACCTTGACCTACTTTCAAGGTCACAGGGGTTAAATATGTAAAAACATTTTTAACTTCTTCTGAATAACCAGGAGGCCCAGAGTAATGATACTTGGCTAGTAGGTACTGTACCTGAGATAGAGCGATATAAACTTTCCTCAAATAAATGTTGTTGACCTACTTTCAAGATCACATGGGTAAAAAAAAGGGTTAAAAACCTTTAAACAACTTCTTCTGAATAACCAAAAGGCTTAGAACAATCATATTTGCCATTAGGTACCTAGGACAGAGTGCTATAAAGTTTCCTTAAATAAATGACATTGGCCTACTTTCAAGGTCACAGGGGTCAAATATGTTAAAACCTTTAAACAAATCCTTTTGAATAACCAGAAGGTCCAAAATAATGATACTTTGCCAGTAGGTACCTGGCATAAAGTGCTATAAATTTCCTCAACTAAATGCCATTGGCTTACTTTTAAGATCACAAACATCAAATCATCTTTAATTAATACCAGGAGGCCCTGGGTGATGATATTTGACATGCTGGGATAGAGTAGTATAAAGTGTCATTTAGTCTGGAACATTCTTAAGCCAAGGAGACTCAATATATGGAAATATTTGCGAAAGTACTTTTAATGTTTGCTTAAAAATCCAATTGAGAGATACAGGCCCTCGGGGCGTCGTGTATTTCACTTGACATGCTTTATGTGAATCCCCATCACCAATGCCATTCATTGCCGATAAATGTTATACATTATGGCCAACAGAAGGGCAATAACTCTGTACTATATAGCTACGGACTATTCTAACTGGAATAAATGTCCAAAGTTTTTAGATATATATTTATACATACTGCCTGCAAGGGTTTGTTATAGAGATTATTTCACAGAAACCATCACTAACATTTAACTAATATGGAAAATAGTTGTATTACGTTTTAATCACATGCTCTTAAATTTTCTAGCAGTGCAGTCTATAAACTGTCTTAATTTAATAACAGCACAAATCAATTTGCATTTAGTGTTTCCTGCTTAATCAAAAATTTAAAATTGTATTCTAAAAAACGTTCTATGTTATATCTTTTTAATGAAGGTCATAATTATGTCCAAAGGACCAAGGTGAGCTTATGCCATACCGTGGCGTCCCTCGTCCATCTGTCTGTATGTCTGTACGTCCGTCATCCGTACGTCAACAATTTCTTCAAACGACTTCCTCTTCTTAACCACTGATTGGAATTTAACTTAATTTGACTGGAAGCAACTCTAGTTGGTGGGGATTCAAAATTGTACAAATGGTGGGGTTAACCCCCCAGGGGGCTGAGGGTGGGGCCAAAAGGGGACAATTTGGCTATATTGCTATAAACGACTTCTGCTGTAGAACTGTGCAATGGATATCAACCATATTTTACTGGAAGCATCCCTAGGTAGTGGGGATTCAAAAATGTACAGCTGGTTGGGCTGACCCTTAAAGGGGCTGAGGGGCGGGGCCAAAAGGTTATTTGGCTATAATGCTTTAAGCAACTACTTCTCTACAACAAAAAAGATGGACATCAACCATATTTGACTGGAGGCATCCCTAGGTAATGGGGATTCAAAATTGTACAAATGGTGTGGCTGACCCCCCAGGGTGCTGAAGGGCGGGGCCAAAAGGGGTCAATTTGGCTATATTGCTTTAAGCGACTTCTCCCCTGAAACTTATAGATGGATATCAACCATATTTTACTGGAAGCATCCCTAGGTAATGGGGATTCAAAATTGTACAAATGATGGGGCTAGGGGCAGGGCCAAAAGGTTATTTGGCTATATTGCTTTAAGCGATTTCTCTACAACTAAAATATGGACATCAACCATATTTGACTGGAAGCATCCCTAGGTAATGGCTGACCCCCTTGGCTAAAGGGTGGGGCCAAAAATAGTTTTTTGCTTGGAAATGGTTGTGATCCCCAACCTATAACCATATATACAATTGCTGAGAATGAAGAGAAGAATGCACATATGTTTCCAGGATTGCCCAGGGGTCTGTCCCCACCCTTGGAGACATAGTCCCTGGGTCATAACTTTGTAACAGTTGAGATCCCCACCCCAAAACTGTATATACAAATGCTGGGCATAAAGAGATGAATGCAGTCATGATATTATAATTTACCACGGGGTCTGTCCAGCCCTCGTAGACTTACCCTCTGGGTCATAATTTTGAAACGGTTAAGATCCCCACCCCAAAACTATATATACAATTTTTGGGCACAAAGAGACGAATGCAGTCATGATATAAGAATTGATTACAGAGCTTGCTCCACCCTTGGGGACTTAACCCCTGGGTCATAATATATAACTTTGTAACAGTTGAGATCCCCACCCCAAAACTATATAAACAATTGTTGGGCACAAAGAGACGAATGCAGTCATGATATTATAATTGACCACGGGGTCTGTCCAGCCCTCGCAGACTTACCCTTTGGGTCATAATTTTGAAACGGTTAAGATCCCCACCCTAAAACTGTATGTACAAATGCTGGGCATAAAGAGATGAATGCAGTCATGATATTATAATTGATCCTGGGGTCTGGCCACAACCCGAGGGACCTAGTTTCTGAGTCACACATTGGAAACAGTTGAGATCCCAACCCCATAATATAACCATACATAAAATTGCTAGGCATGAAAAATCTAATACAGATAGGATACAAGGATTGTCCTTTGGGTCTGGCCCATTCCTTTGGATCTTAATTTGGAGATTTTTTTGCCATGATTACTTTGATATCCAGGTGAGCGATACAGGCCCTCTGGACCTCTTGTTATTTCATAGTTTTATACTAGGTGCCCTAGGTTGAGCTGATGTGGTAGTGCTTCATATGTTGGTCATCTGTTGTCTCTAGTAGAATTCAATACAATTTTGGCATAATTATATAAATACAATTGCTGGGTATGATGAGACAAACACAATCATGCTTTAAGGGTTGGCTTTGGGTCAGGCCCCGTCCCTGGGAACTTTGTCCCTGGGTCATAACATTGAAACAGTGAAGATCCAAGGCTCATAACCGTATAAACATGTGCTTGGCATGCAGAGCTGAACACAATCATGCAAGTCAGATTAAACCTTCGGACTAGCTCCTCCCTTGGAGATTTAGTGGCAGTACATGAATTTTTTAAATAGAACATTTTGCTACGATTTCTTAAACATATATAAACAGGTGAGTGATACAGGTCCTCTTGACCTCTTGACAAAATGTAACATTATACTTGTGTTTCTATGTCTACTATGTGCTATGTAACATAATAATTGTATGTATCTATACTAAGCAGGCAATGTTTTTGAAAATGTTGAAAGAATTGACTTTTTTCTGAGAATTATATACCTTTGTATTGGACAATATATAACAATTAAAGAAAATAATACAAATATATCTGAATAAACTGGACAAGCACTAGGTTAACCAGGTTGTGCCTTATTCACGGAAATGTAATCCACACTGACATACATCGTACTTATAAAACCTGGAGAGGATTTTGTGTTTTATGTTTCAGTGTTTCTCACAAGAACTATTGGATGTGCTCAGATGAATTTGACAAGAGAAAAGATGAGAAATTGAAAACGGTGATTATGGACTACTTTCAGGAACAGACATTATTAAATAAGGCCTTGGAGGAAGCAGATGACACATCAGAGGTAAATATCTGTGTTTGGGGGAACAGTAGCCAAAGATATTGTAAAAGTAGCAGTTATCATGGTGTAGAAATGCTCAAGTTTTGCATGTGAAAGTGGTTAAGGGAAAAAATATTCATACCCAAATCTTAATATATATATGATACAGATTATAGAGTCTATCATGTACCAGTCCAAATGGGCAACCTTCTGCAATAGCAGGGAGTGGATAGGTTTTTTTTAAATATTAATAAATATGAAACCAAATTGTCCGAAATTGTCCAAAAGCTGTTTTTCTATTTTTCTGCAATATGCACTACTTTACTGGTGTGTGATGTTTACTGAGGTTGGTGTGATATTTATCGAGGTTGGTGTGATATTTACCCAGGTTGGTGTGATATTTACCGAGGTTGGTGTGATGTTTACCGAGGTTGGTGTGATATTTACTGAGGTTGGTGTGATGTTTACCGGGGTTGGTGTGATGTTTACCGAGGTTGGTGTGATATTTACTGAGGTTGGTGTGATATTTACCGAGGTTGGTGTGATGTTTACCGAGGTTGATGTGATGTTTACCGAGGTTGTTGTGATGTTTACCGAGGTTGGTGTGATATTTACCGAGGTTGGTGTGATGTTTACCGAGGTTGGTGTGATGTTTACCGAGGTTGGTGTGATATTTACCGAGGTTGGTTTGATATCCGTGTTCATGGAAGGTAGAGAACATAAGTTATCTCCCTTTATTTTTCTAGGTTCCACAATATGAACTTGGTCAACTCGCGACTGACATTCGTCAGTTTGTGAACCTTTATGGTACAGAACACAAGCTAAATGGCCGAGCCGTGGCCAGAGTGCTCCATGGAATTGGTAGTCCCTGTTTCCCCCCGAACGTTTGGGGACGAAACCGACGTTTCTGGCGGGCACACATGACCATTGACTTCAACATGGTAGTAAAGATAGCGACTAAAGAGCTCATCAGTATGAGGTGACCCTTCCTCAGAGTCTTAATACTAACAAAATCGTTTGGCAAGGACAGATGAAATGGGGTCAAAATATTTTGAGTGGATTTATTAATACACGATCTGATCAGTTAAATAAAACTTCCTACATCCTTTGATCCTAATTTCATGCAAATTTCTCATTATTATATCAGATTGCAAGTATGATTGTATTTGTAAATGAAAATACTTAAAAAACGTAAAAAGGTTTGTCTCCTTATGTGTATTTTGAGTGTTCCACAATAATAAGAAAGTTAGGGTCTGGACATGTACACTGGTGTTAAACAAATGTCTAAGGAAAGACAACTCCTGCTAAATCACAGACTTGTGTGGTGTAGTAAACATGACTCCTATAAAAAGTGACATTGTATCTTGTATTACATTGCTACCAAAATTAAGGTGACGTTTTATTACCAGTGAAAGTACTCTTTATTGCAAACTTATGATAAATCCTTTGATGCAACATTTCATGGAAACAGAAATGTTATTTAATCAAAGATTGAAATAAAATTGAGATGAAGTCTTTGTGGTTTGGAATGTATGTTATGATTGTATGTTAGAGCACATCAACGGGAATAGGTTTTAACAGAACTTTAACGTGTACAGTAATAATGTGAAAAAGACACCTCACATCTCACTATGTATATATTGAAGACCGCCCTATCTTGCTGGCTGGTTGTTTGGGTACAAAGTCATGTCTACTATTACTGTAAATAAGACAGTTTCAGTCATGTCTACTATTACTGTAAATAAGACAGTTTCAGTCATGATAAGGTAGATTAAGAGGCCTTCCAAAGTAAATGAGTATTAATTGTGATGTCATAATTTAATGTGTTGATGAATATCAGTGTTGTATGACGGTCGTAAGAGCAGGTGCAACAGATTAGCAGTTATTGTTACATATGTATTATCAGTGGACTCGAGATTGAGGTGTGAAGCAATGCTATGTGATTAAAATTTAAGTAACATTTAAGAAAATCCTTTTTTCCTTTTTTTTTGTAGTTACTGACTCATGTCAGTCAGGAACAAACACCACATAAACTACTGCTATCTGAAGGATAACTCAAATCTTGTTTTATCTCCAAAAATGTCAATAGGATAAAAAAAGAAAATGCACATAAACACACACAGGTTTTCAGGAAATTGACAAAGTAGACAAATCTCTGTTTGTGTGAAGATTGACCGTAAAAGGGAGGTAGCTTTCCATATTTTGCAGAATATAGTTCCAAAACATAATTTAATCAAACTCGTCAGGAAAAAGGAAATCCATTGATTATCTCCCTTCTCCTCAGTGTTAAATCCAACATTGAAACCAGCTTTTTGAGGCAACATTGAAATCATTTACATTTTGAGATAATAATTATTCTGTGATAAGATATGCTTATCAATTAATTACCTGATTGCCATTTTCAGAGATAAACAAAATCCAAGTCTGTTTAAATATATCGCGTTCCAAGGTAAATTAGGGGGAAAGTCCAGAGATGCCGTATAACCCGGGGACCCGCTCACTAGTTCAGCAACGTCGTCAGTATTTGATGGGTGACCACCCGCACGTTATATTGCTCAGTTTGGGCTGGTACTATTTACATAGGTAACTCAAATACCTCATAATCCATTCACATCATTTATTTACATATAAGACATGTTTTTAACCCCTAGCTGACATGTCATTACAATTCCTTTAAAATTGTTTAACATCTTTTAAATTTTAAAGGACAAGTTATGTTATAAATCCACAGGACGCTTTATGTTAATAATGTCCTCATTGGGAGGTAAGAAATCTGTGGAGGGTCAATAATGTCCTCATTGGGAGGTAAGTAATCTGTGGAGGGTCGAGGTGGTGATTGTTGGGAGTACAACATACCTTTATGTTAATAATGTCCTCATTGGGAGGTAAGTAATCTGTGGAGGGTCGAGGTGGTGATTGTTGGGAGTACAACATACCTTTATGATAAAATTCATCACATCAACAAGAATTGATTCTATTTTCTTATTTCCCTTGAAATCAGAACTGAAGTTAAAAAAGAACTAGATCCAGTTTGAAATAGGTACTCAAACTACTGTATTAACATAGCACTTTAGGCTCTGAAATAAAAAAAAATACAGTATAATCAGTTATGATGGTTAAGGCGCACTGTGTTTATACAGTGACCTCCCCTTAACTTGGTTTTGGACACAACTGTAACACAGTTGGGTAAGAACACTTCTGTTGACCAGGTAGCTCAGTTGGCTAGACCGATAGTATAATGATCTCAAGTCCAGTGGTTCAAATCAGGACCTAGCTAAACTGAATGTTTAAAATCAGAACACTGTTGTTAATTTTATTTTGTATATTTCATATTTATTATTTTTCATAAAAGTCTGGCAAGGTATGGTTTTCTTTTCAGAAATGATTTATCAAAACTATATTCATGCAAGAAAAGAAGATCCAAATGCATACGTGTATCCTTTAATCATAGCTATGGTCCCGTGGCAGAATATTTCAATGTATTCATAATAACAATCTGATGTAGCCTGGTCCACTTGTATGGCTACCGGACACAGGTTAAATACTATATCATTACAAGTGTGTGGAATCCACACAAAACAAGACATAGAATCAATCGTGAAAGTCGAGCAACGAAACTGATACCTGGGCTGAAGGACCTACCATACAGTGGTTGTCTGAAAGATTAGGATTTCCATTCCCTCACATACCGTAGACTGAGAGGAGATACAGAAACTGATACCTGGGCTGAAGGACCTACCATACAGTGGTTGTCTGAAAGATTAGGATTTCCATTCCCTCACATACCGTAGACTGAGAGGAGATACAGAAACTGATACCTGGGCTGAAGGACCTACCATACAGTGGTTGTCTGAAAGATTAGGATTTCCATTCCCTCACATACCGTAGACTGAGAGGAGATACAGAAACTGATACCTGGGCTGAAGGACCTACCATACAGTGGTTGTCTGAAAGATTAGGATTTCCATTCCCTCACATACCGTAGACTGAGAGGAGATACAGAAACCGATACCTGGGCTGAAGGACCTACTATACAGTGGTTGTCTGAAAGATTAGTATTCCTTCCCTCACATACTGTAGACTGAGAGGAGATACAGAAACTGATACCTGGGCTGAAGGACCTACCATACGGTGGTTGTCTGATAGATTGGGATTCCCTCCCCTCACATACCGTAGACTGAGAGGAGATACAGAAACTGATACCTGGGCTAAAGGACCTACCAAACAGTGGTTGTCTGAAAGATTAGGATTTCCATTCCTCACATACCCTAGACTGAGAGGAGATACAATCAATGGGTACAAGATTATGAACAAGTTCTACGATGAAAAAGTAACATCTGGAATTTTTATCTGTGAAACGTCATCAAGAAAGAGAAGGCACTCACAGAAATTGAAGAAAAAACACTGTAGACTAGATGTAAGAAATATTCATTCATTTGGTTTCAGAACTATCAATATTTGGAACAGTCTTCCCGAATATGTCATAAATTCAACAATTATTAGAGACTTTGAAATCAATTTAGACAAACATTGGTAAAACCAAGAGCTTAAATATAATCATTTGGCTATAGTTACAAACAGACATCTGGAAGAGACATAATATTATATGTACGTTGTATTATTATAAGATATGGATATAGAGGCATCAAATGCCTGCGTCCATTACCTTTCCTATTAAATTACACACCTACCAACAATCTCCTGTAATCTCATATTTCAAAGTACAGCACTTCAATCTATTGTATTTCATACCTACAAAACAAAGTGGGCAGGGAATGTGAAACCCTGCCAATCTGTTGCCATGGTGATAGAGAATTAATTGTATCAATCTGTTGCCATGGTGATAGAGAATTAATTGTATCAATCTGTTGCCATGGTGATAGAGAATTAATTATCAATTTATGGTTCTTTCTTGCATATTTTTTCCTGAAACTATTGTTTAGATTTGATTAAACCACCGATGGAGGTGGAGGTATGACCGTATGTGAGGGTATGTTAATAAATATATATCTTTAAAAAATGTTTATCGGTGCAGAGTGCATTTTCTGATGTTCCCAAGTTTAGCAGTGTTCATGTTGAATTGAAGCATGTATATAATCCTATATTGTATTGTAATGTAATGAATTGTTATGAAATGTAAGGTTTAGTCGCTTGTCTTAATGAAATTGTTCACATGAAAATTAATAAATAAAAAATAATGGTTCTGTGGTACGGATTTTAAATCCTAGAAAAAAACCCATGAAAGTCTGGCCCCTCAACATTAAAACACTATACATCACACAGTTACACCCTTTCTTATCAATATGGATTTAAATCCCAGATCAACCGGGACCAATTCTCATGAAAACATATACAGTGGGACCTTACTTTAGGTCCAGTTTATGAGGTTTATTTTGGTACATTGCACACTTTAAATAAATTGAAACCAAATGGTGAAACAGCCATTTCTGCAAGAACAAGATCCTGTTTTCTATTGTAACCATTTTCGTTAGGCAATAAACATCAATCGAATCAGCATTCTAGTATTTCCCTCCCAGATTAAATTTCATGTGATTAACAGTATGAAGAATCAGACACGTTTAGAAAGGACAGTTCTTGATACATGTTTTCATAATTGGTTGTTCATAGTTATGATTAAGAGGCTTGGACAATGGCAACATATAGAAACAAGGAAAGTAGTATTTATATAATATTCTTGCACTGTAGATGAAGAACTGGGATCGGCCATGAAATCTTCAGGGTACTGGTAGGTAAGAACATTGTTTTGTTAGTCCTTTAAGTTGTACATGAACTTTATCTGTATTCTGTACTAGACCCCGTTTGTATCTGTATCAGCTGATTTGGCAGGCGAGCGAGTCTCGTCTGACCCATTAACCTCTGAACTACTTTTAGTAGTCTGTTCTGACGTAGCGTCTGTGTCTCTCTCCACATTATCGCCAGACAGAGTTGTCTCCCCTCCTCCTGTTTTGTCCACAGATTCACTAAGCTTATTTTCCTTGCGAGGCAATGTCACATCTATTCTTTCCTCCTCCTCACTGTCTTCTTCCTCTTCTTCCTCTTCAGAAATCTCTTCCACCTCATCTTCAAATTCAGCATCATCATTGCCTAAAACAATAAGTTACAAAACCAATATTGACAGAAAAAAGTAGTTTATAACAAATAGATAAAAGCTCTCAATTTGACACAGGCTCTTAAACTTACAATATATTTTTTCCAATAAAACCACAAACACTCTTGTCAAGCAGTCCATCAAATCAAATTCATCTAAAATACATCCTACTCTCCATCCGTCCGTCCCTATGTATCCCTACTTCTACCCACAATTCTGAACCATAGGAAGAACACACACCTGGAGTTTGTGGGTGACTTTCCCCCGATACTGTGTCCGTCTCCAGGAATTCGTCTAAGCTAGTGTTCTCCATCTCCCAGCTGATGTCTGCCAGGTCTGTCTTCTTACTGCTGTCATTACTACTCGTGGACAGTCCTACCAGGTAAATATATCAACAGGGTTTATTTCTAGATTTTGTTGTTTATAAAAAGATGGTGTTTATCCCTTTTTAGCAAGGAAGCAATTAACAGAACACAAATGTGCTTGTCAGTTTTATAAATCTGGAAAGTGATTGCTGGAATTCACTGACAAATCAGATGGTTATTAGTTTACGAATGTCTGCCTAGTGCTAAAAAACCTTCAGTTCCCTACATACATACCTGGTCAGAAAATCCTACTGAAACTTTATCATCTTTAGAATAGATATTACATTAAACCTCAACAGATCAGACAACAGTATGAGAACCTCAACAGATCAGAAAACAGTATGAGAACCTCAACAGATCAGACAACAGTATGAGAATTTATAATGTTGTCCAACATCCAACATTGCTTTAGTTTTGGCAAATATGGCAAAAAAAGGATATTTTTTATTAGAAATAAGATAAAGGAAAAAATGACCTTTAAAATAGTCCAGGGTATTTTCTTTGTGTAGACTTCAGTGGTTGCTACCAATACGACAGCCAGTTGATAGTTATGGCCCAAGATCAACTTGTGCCAAAGCCCAAACCATATCAAAGGTCACAAGTATGGTCAAAAAATATTGAACTAAGAAAACACCCAGGCTAAATGTAAATCTAGGACATACTGAATTCTGTGACTGTACTCACTTTCTAAACGACCATGTGACTTGAAGTAGTCAAGGTCGTTGTTAAATTGCTGCTCAAACACTTCCTGTCTTTCCTTCAATTTTGTCTGGCGATGTTTTTCATATCCCTCCATCTTTTTGGCATGATCTTTGGCAAACTCAACTTAAATGAGAGAAAAAAACTATTTTCAAGCATCAAAACTGCAGTCTGGACAGTTATATCAATTAATAGTTTTTTTGGAATGATGAAATTTGACTAGTTAAGCAGAGAAATTCTTGCCAAATGTACCTTTAATTTTCTGGAGTTCTTCACTCTTTCTGTGGGTGTAGCTGGCGAGTTTCTGACCGTCATACACCTTGGCCTGAGCGAGCTCCTGTTCCTCACAGATGTCCTCCAGACGAACCAAGGCTACCTCTACATTGTCATATTCCTCGTCTAAAGACGCTGTTAACACAGAGATAGAGATGACAACAATTTACATCTTGCTGTATAAATAAAGTAAAATTACCCTGAGCCATTCCTAAAGAATAATCTATAGACTCCCAGATCACTTAGTTACCAGGAAACTCCTTGACCTTAGTAACATAAATATTCTGTAACTAAGGTTACAGTAAATATTCTGTTACATTGTACCTTATTATCTTAGTTACATAAAATATTCTGTAACCTTAGTTACATAAATAGTGTGTAACTAAGGTTACATAAAACATTGTTACATTGTACCTTTCCTTACCTTATTAGTTACCTCAAATATTCTTTGTTTCCTTATAGTTACATGAAATATTTTGTAACCTTAGTTAAATGAAATGTAAATAGTGAACATTTTATCATGCGCGACCATATGTAAGACAAGTCTTTGACTCAATATGTCATCAAGTTGAAATAAAGACTATTATTATAATTAATAAATATTCTATGACCTCAGTTACATGAAATATCTTTCGCTAACTTTCGTTACCTAGTACATCCGTGAGCTCCTGTAGTTTGTGCAGTATAACCGGGAGATCAGCCACAGCCAAGTGTAACTGGCCCAGTATCTCTGACTGTCTGTCATAGGTCACAAACAACTGTGTAATCTGGCTATCCACATTCTGTTTGGAAGGGAAAAGGTCAATGTCATTTGTATATAAAAACCTATAATCACAGCTGTGTCTAGTGTGAGTATACAGCGGGACTAAGAGAGGTAGAACAAACACTTAACAGCTGTCAGGCAGGAATGTAGTTTCTAGTGCTACCCCTGCACAGGCAGATTTTAGTAAATTCTACATAACTTTCAATTTTTATGATGAAAAAAAGATGGGTTTGTAGAATTTACTAAACTCTGCCATTGCAGGGGTAGCACTAGATATGAAACTACATTCCTGCCTGACAGTTGTTAAACTTGTAAAATTGTACACACCTGTCAGGAAAGAAACTAACTTTGATTTTCTAATAAAATTTGGTAATTGGACTAGGTAATTAGGCAATTAGATTAAAATGAGAACATGTTATTAGCACTACATTGCATTAAGCGATATACTTAATGGAAAACACTTCACAACCTACAAGATATCATATCACATTTTAGACAAAACGATTGCTCAAAAATAAATAATAAAAATATGCTGTCATGTTTTGTAACAAAGTGACAATTTTGTTGGCCGACCCGTATTTAAGCCTACCACAGAGAAATATCTTTTACATTTCAATTATTCATATGTTTATTCTTATGTTAATTCTGTACACTTTGACTCAATTGTCTTGTTCCCAATAGTTGACTTACAGTCGGAAAGTTAAAAAGAAAAGTGAATTAGATTTACATAACATAGAAGATAGATAACAATTAGCATAAAACCATAATGAAAATCTTTTCTCGTTTTTGTTGATTTGTTTAAAAATATAAAGAGTCAAAGGTCAGCAGAAAAACAATTTATTGTCGCAAAGAAAATGGAAAACATACTAAGCATTATATTTTTTTTGGTTACAGATATATTTTTATTCCCCCAGCATGATCATATACATATAGCTATTTCTGTGGGACATATATTTGCTGTCAAAGTTTAACAGCACAGTGTATGAGTAGTTACCTGAGCTTGTGTAGCATTCTGCTCTGCATCCTGGTGAAGTTTCCTCCATGTGTTCTGGTACCTGTACATGTCAACACATTAGTTTATTTCATTTAAATATTTCAAAGTCTTCCAAAGATGAATAACTCTTCTGACCTACAAATCAATGGATTCTAATTCTGAATGATTTACACGAAAACCCTACCTGAAGTACTACTGCACAGTGACTGTGTACATAACAGTTTGTACCACTACCAGTGATTTTTTTGTTGTTGCCTAGTTTAACTCATTCACCCCTGAAACTTCATAATGAACTATTCCAACCTCTGAATTGGAAGTGTTCAAATGTGTCGCCAGGGGGTGAATTTAACTGAATACAGGCTGCTTCTTCTAGCAAATTAAAGCACTGTATTTTCCCAAAAAGAAAACAATATTAATATCTTTCTGATTGCAATAAAAATACTGCTATAATTTCCAAATTCATGCAGGAACAGGCTTCTGCAAGATTTAGGTAGAAAAACACTGTTGACCATTATATTGTCTATATGTAGCCACAGTGACAACGAAAGTATCCCAATTCAGGGACAGTGAATTTTACTGAAAATATTTTCATAAAACTAATCTTACAGCTTCTCAAAAGTTTGACCCTATCCCCCTGAATTTTTCATTTATATAGGAAAGACACATTCCATTCTTGAGGTTGAAAAGATGTTAAATTATAATTATTACATAGTTGGAATATTACATGACAAGAGAGTTGCCTGTGACAATGGTGCTACTCACCTGTCCAGTAGGTCCGCTCCAGCATCCAAGCTTACTCCGGTTCTCACCAGCTTCTCCTCCTTAACACCGTCACGAGATGTGATTGACTTCAACCTACAAATCATCAGATGAAACATTTTAGTTGTTTACAGTCAATAATCTATTTCAGGTAGTCTGGGACATTTTCTATGTTACACTGTACTACATGTCATGCCATAGTTTCTACTCTCCGCAATGCTTTGATTCCTAAATACAATAACGGGTCAGGTCCTGTCATTTTGAATGGCTAACATTTTTGTATGTCTTTCTCTCCAGCAGGGGTATTTCTTCCAAGTTGCCGTTTGGTTTTATTTGTGATGATTGACGCTAATAAGTTTGAAGTGTGTAATTACCTATGAACAGAGACGTATAAATCCATTAGTTATATATATATATACGTCTCTGCTATGAACAATTCTTTCGTGGATAAAGAAAACAGTTATATATAACCATTGTTGGTTGCATGCTGACTTATCAACTGAGAATTTTTATTTCAAATAGACACTTGACGTGTATGTTTCTTTCAATATCACTAGTTAGACTATATTATCTATTGTAATTAACTAACAAGTTCCTCTCCTAGGGGAGGGGGCGGGTTCTTGATTCTGTTCCATGGTCTGTGAAAGACGGACCGTTTATTTTACCTAGCGGGAAAGGAAGCATAAAACCTTTTTGGGGATTAAAAGTAAACTATACACAGCTTAGTCGTGTTCCTTGTCGTCCGACACCCTAAACAGAGCTCATCGCTATTTAAGGACTTTATTTAGACACTTTAGAGCTCATCGCTATTGAAGGACTTCCTAGATTTACTGAGCTGTTTGCTATAAAGTGTCAAAATAAAAGAACCAATTAAATTTAGACATGACATTTCCCTTACCCTGCTGCAAACGTCCCTTTGATGCTCTGAAAGACACTCATTTTACATCGCGTTCAATCAGTACTCTACACATGTATAGTCCCACTAGGTTTGTTCAGGATTACTTCCGACAGTCGACAGTCACAACGCCGCCATTTTGAATGATCACATGAGCTGTCACGTGACTAAATGGAGAGTTTTCGTTGTCAAATGTGTAATGGCGGGAATTATGTTCGTATAGGAAAGGATGAGTTAGCCTAGGTTCATAATAAAACGTAAATTGTATTCTCTGTTCCAATGCTGTATATCCTAACTGCCTCGGTATGAAATCTGTCTTGCCTACCCCCTGAGTTTGGAATTTTCCGCCCATTTAGAGTAAACGTGAAGTGAAAAATGAACTTGCGAATTTTTTTTTATCTTTTCTTAAAAGAAAAATGGGTAGGATAATAAACCGGAAAGGGTTCTGGTTACTATTAACCCGTTTTGAAAACAGAAGCGTATGTTCCCAACAGGTTATTGTCAGTAAAACGGAAGTGTATGTTCCCAACAAGTTATTGTCAGTAAAACAGAAGTGTATGTTCCCAACGGGTCATTGTCAGTAAAACAGAAGTGTATGTTCCCAACAGGTTATTCTCAGTAAAACAGAAGTGTATGTTCCCAACAGGTTATTGTCAGTAAAACAGAAGTGTATGTTCCCAACAAGTTATTGTCATTAAAACAGAAGTGTATGTTCCCAACAGGTTATTGTCAGTAAAACAGAAGTGTATGTTCCCAACGGGTCATTGTCAGTAAAACAGAAGTGTATGTTCCCAACAAGTCATTGTCAGTAAAACAGAAGTGTATGTTCCCAACAAGTTATTGTCAGTAAAACAGAAGTGTATGTTCCCAACAAGTTATTGTCAGTAAAACAGAAGTGTATGTTCCCAACAGGTTATTGTCAATGTAACAGTTAGACGATCCAGTACTTCTTAAAAAAAAAATCATAATCGCGATTCCAAGATAGACTGTTTCAGAATAACTTTCTGCGGCAAACGCTGACAGGTTTTTGTGATGATATATGAAAATTGGCAATTTACCTCGAACAGAAATCTTTCAAATCTAATATAGACACAATATTTATTTCATTGTTTTTCTAAACTTCAAACTTTTGAACAATATTCACAGGTTTAGTTTATAGTATATTCTGTCAACTAATGCACATCTATAAAATATTCGTTCTTCAGCAACACGACAAAGAAACTACACCGCCTGTATATCAAACGTATATGTTACCTTGTTACCTTCACTACCATCAAGTTTATCCATATGTGGTAGAGGTGGTTACGTTGTAAATGATAGAACAACTCCTCTGGGTTTTGTTCACTGTCAGTTAAACCACGGAATTAGATTAGTTATCTAAGCCCGTGGTTAAACCAAAAGAACCCTGTACATAGATATAAAATAGACATACATAATCATATTTAACATTTACAAATGCAAGGGAAATAACTCTTACACGATTACATAACTTTTAACGTTACAAATATAGTATCAACGATAAGGCAATACACATTACAATTACAGCTTTTACGAAATGCAATCAAACTGAAGATTTGACTCAACACAAAAATACTGGACAGTATACTAAATTCACACATAGCAGTCTAGCGACCAAAGCACACCCGAGTGTGTGGACGACGCCTTCTTCAATTGTTTGCGATACGGATATACTGTAATTTAAATAAAAGCCATATGAGAAGAAGAAATCGTTATAGAATGTTTCATCAAAACAAGGATATAATTTGTTTTTGTAACGTATCTTCACAAAATTGGAACAAAAGTCAATTCATAACAAAGTTAAATCATGAAACCAACTTAACGAAAGCTCCAAACGAAATCATTCAAAAGGGCGGCGTTATCTTATACTGCCAAAGGCATACGGTAGCCTACACGTGGCTTTTCTCCCCCTGACATTTTTCAGAAGTATAAACCATTCATTCGACTGTGATTTTTTTTTGCATGAATTGAAAGTCATTTAGCAAAACATTTTGCGACAGTAGTTAATCGTTAAAATCATATTTTAGCTTAAATAATTGATATTTAACTAATTAAATTTTGTTGAGTCATAATTAAACTTAAACTATGTATGAAGACAGAAATATGAATTTTAAATGAAAACTGAAAAAAAATGCAAAGCTTTTCGTATCAAAATAAGTGCCGCGACAGCGATGGTTCGAGTATATTGGCATGTTCATGTACATTTTATGAATAATTACCGTACGTTTTAAAACTTATTTTTTATTTTGAAAAGCATGTGTATCAATGTTAAGACGGGGAACTTTGGTATTGACATTTTGGCTATATCAAAGGTGCTGGAAGGATTATGCGATATGATTTTCAGTTAATGGCGTATGATCATTCTCCCCTATTTGACCGAGAATGCCAATAGAAATTTCGACGAGGGACAGTTTTGTTGGCCTTTCCCTAGGGTAAAAGAAAGGAGATTTCACAGAAAGAACGATTATATGACGTCGCGTCAACAATGCATTGGCGTCACGTCACCAACAAGAGGCCCATGGGCCTTAACGGTCACCTGAGTCTACAGTATTTTTGTTTGTTTGTTGAAATATGTACCAATTTGAGTAAAAAATAGTATAATGTTAACTTAACTTTGTCAGGACCATGAGCTGATCATTCCTAGACCAATTTTAAGTGAGATCGGCCTATTAGAATTTAGTAGCAAAATAGCGGCCATGGCAGCCAAATTGTATTTCTGATAAATAACAACACTTTGTCAGGACCATGAGCTGATCATTCCTACAAAGTTTCAGTTCAATCGGCCTAGCAGAACTTGACTTTAAGTTTGAAATAG